TTTATAGACCCATTTTGTTATTGCAAAACACAAACAAATCAGAGCACCAACCCCTCCCCTCTCCATCAAATCTTCCAAAAGACCAAACCAACCCCCATATCTCTCTAAGTTTCTACAAGTGGGGGAAGAATCCATTTGGGTTTTGACCTCAAATCAAAGAAGTCAATACCGTACGGCATGCGTACCAATTTTGTTACTGAAAGGTACTACCGGATAACAGAATTTTTCGCTTTATCGCGATAAATATATTTTTATAAGAGAAATTAATGTAATTAAGGACAAGATTTGAAAAAACCTTTTGAGTTAGTCATAATCTTTTTTTTTTCAACCATTAACCAAAACCCATTATAACCCAAGCAAAGATACTTTAGATGGTTTAAGTTAAAGACATTAAGGTAATGACAATCATTAAATAGATGATAGCAAATCACATTCAATTTATAAAAGTTAAAAAGATTGAATGATAAAACAGATGCATACCAACAGAAAAAGTAACCTCGGAATGAAAATGTGAAGATACCTGAGATGGAGCTGGGCTGCTGGAGAGTCGAGGAAGAGAGAGTAGTGGCTGGATCTGGACCGCCGGCAGCGGCTGGAGTGGCTGGACCACCTGCGAGGAGTGGAGCTCAAGCCTCAACGACCATTGGATGCTGGAGAACAGAGAAGAGGCGCGATCTGAAAGTGCAGGGTTTAATGAAGAAGCTTAAGGAGATAGAGCAACGGCTGGAGGCTGGAGCTAGAGAACAGAGGAGAGATCGACGGCTGCTGGAGAAAATAGGAGAGGCACGATCTGAAATTGCAGGGTTAAGTGAAGAAGAAGCCACCCCCGCCAAAACGACGTCGTTTTGGCTGGGAAATTTTTTTTTTTTTCATTCTTGCATAAAGCACGGGTCAAATTTCCGTATACATGTGTCGATATCCGAAATTTGATCAATACATCAAAATTTAACTGATATATCTAAAATTTGACCAAAATAAAATTTTAACTTATCTAGATAACTTTTAAAATCGATAGGTACCTGCCATACCAGTCGGTATGGTACAATAACAACTACTTTGCCTCAAATCCCAGTATAACTATAACATCAATCATTGCATTCCAATCGGGTATTTTACTACTTGTAAACCCTATTTTAGAATCTTAAGCATTTACAGAATTTATATTTTAAAATTGTGAAGGTCAAATTGAAAATTTTACTATAACCTCTAATTTAATTAGTTTTATTTGCAACAGATCGTATTAAAAACTCAATCAACACTAATTTCACGAACTGAGTTCATATTATTGTTTGCGAAACTAAAGCAGACTAAAAAAAATGGGTCATACCTTTAATCCACATTTCATGAATGAAAAAATCAAGGATGAAAGTGAAAATAATGGAGAAGTAGTTTGATTTTGTATCAATTTATCTCTAAGAGGTTGCCATGGTGTGATGGGGGTCGGGGTGGAACTGGTGGCTTCGAAGTCGGTGAACTGAAAAGTTAGGGTGAGGAAGAAAAGTGTGCGAAGGATTGGGGATTGCCGTTTGTAACGGCGTAAACCATTCTCAGTATCAATATTAACACAATTTTAAATTATTTTTGTACGTGAGCTGGCAGTATTTGATTGGGTAGGGATAGGAGTGACGTGGTATACCGGTGATATGGTGGGTGT